GGGGGTTTTTTTGCAGCACAGGTACCTTTCTGTGTGGTCACCAGGTGAGGCGAAGGTGCCTCACTTGGATGTTGCTGTGATATACCGTCGGAGAGCTGGCTCATGGCATGCTCACAGGGGGTTTAAACCAAGCAAGGTCAATGGTGCTTCTCTTACCACCTGGAGGCCTATTTCACAGCAATGCCCCTGCCCCTACATCACTAACCTGTCCTTAAAAAAATAAAACAGTAACAGTGAATAAAATGTGGCTTAGCTGGTGATCCTGAATACATCTGCAGAGCAGGAAACTATACTTGAATTTGCTCCCTTGTAAGAAGCACCAAGCTGAGAGATGTACAATTTGAGAGCTTATGGGTGGGGAGCTGTTGTGATCTCAACCTACAGGAAGAAAGCAGTGCAAAGCTCTCATGCTTTTTGAATCATCAAGTTTCTAAAAATTTGCAGCAGGGCTATGACCCTTTAACACCTGATATAGCCCTAATGATGTGAAACTGGCTCTTCCCTACTGCCATTTGCAGACTCCTTAAGATTGATCCCTATGACGAGTCTTAGGACTATCTTCATCAATCGGGTGAGGCAGAGGAGAAGGGCAGATCCATGGACTGTTTCCTGAGCGACAGTTTGGACCAATTTGTCTTGAGTTACAGTTTGTCTGCTACCAGAGCAATGCAGTTACATGTTTAAATTCTAGTATTTGTAGCAAAGCTAGTTAATTATGATGCTAAGACTGTCCCAAAACTGACAGCTGTCCCAGCCATTAAATGTTTCTCATTAGCAATACACCAATCTTCATGATTCAGACTTAAAAAATACAGACTGCACCAGGTCAGATGACCATCTACTAAGCCAACACCATAAGCTTAAGGGAGGCTTGAAGAAAAGAGCAAACATAAAATGCTAATATTCCTCTATTTCCCTAATTTCTAGTGCCTTGTAATTTCTTGAGAAGTAGCAGCATCTTTGTACCCTGTTGCTGTCAGTGGATTTTTATGCCATGAATTTGCCAAGGCACTTTTAACCCAGGTAAAATCTTGGCATTTATGGCTTCCTGGAGCAAGGAGTTGCACAGCTTAATGCATGATGACAAAGTGTCAAGCTAGTCTACGTGGCACCAGCTAATTCTTGCCATTTAGACCTGGCCAGTGTTTAATCTCGGTGATCTAAACAAACTGATTCAAGGATAGTTTTTCATCATGATTTTGGTGAACTTTGCACAAGCTTTCCAGCTATATTTCAGTGATGACAGTGAGGGGTATTCAATTAAAAATAAATTCTGTATGGAAGAGGGAATAATGTCTTACAATGTAGTAAAAATGCAGAGTTTGGGATACTGTTCTTTGAGTATCATGTAACTCACGAAGTATTTGCAGTGATATGGATAAAGTAGTTAGGTCTCAGCCCCCCTCCCCGACTGCATATTCTATAATTTCTAGCACAGTGAGCTGTACATGCAAGGCTACTTTTAAATATATAGTCAGATATACTGCTTTAAAAAGCTTTAAGCTTAACAGCTTCTTCCTTACAACTAGAAGTAAGCCAACCTGTGAATACATCAGTGACCGCAATGCTGTTCTGAAAGCCTTCAGATGGCAGGGTCCAGACCCTTGTCCCCCGCGATGCGCTGCAGTGCAGCAGCGGCCACAGCTGCGAGGGTGCCGAGACCAGGATCCCTCCCAGCGCAGAGGCAGCTCCCAGACAGTGCGGGCCACGCTGGGCAGCTGCACACTCAGCCCTTCATAGGCTCTGCTGAACGCATGGAAGAAGCGTTTCTTTGGATGGAAGGAACACAACCAAAAAACTGTTGTATGCAATGATCTGTGGATGTTCGAATGGCTCCCAAAGGCTGTTGTAGATGCCATGATGGAGAGAGTGAAGGTGTTACCTGGTGCTTGCCCTGCTGTTGGGTTACTGTGTGCACAGGCAGATCAAAGGACCTTGATGTGTGACTTAGGAGTGCTTGTTTATGTCAGGAACGAAACTGCCCAAATCACACAGGAGCTGGCACCAGCTTGAATGTCCCAAGTACAAGTCTTTTAAGTTGCATACCTCTTCAGTGTGGTCCAGGCCAGACTTCTGCACAACAAGGCTTTCCACATTTTTCTACAGCAGAGGGACCATTGTGGGCTATTTTGAGTCCTGCGTGATATACAATGCACTGAACGACTCTAACACCAGGCCTAGAATTTGTTTGAGATGATACACCCTTGTCATAAATCTGTGAATGAGATTCAGCACAATCATAAACTATTGTAATAGTTGTTACCCTTGATGTTAAAAAAAAGGAGAAAAAAGGCATGACATTTTGTCCCTAAATTTCTGCAGCAAGTGTTTTTTATATGTACCTGTAAAGCATGATCAAAGCACCTTGTGAGCCTCTCTGGAATAAACTAAAGAGAGACTGCTTTATAGATTTACATCATAAAGCAAATGTTTTGAGCTGTGACTGGCACCTAGGTATCCCACTTTCCTCCATCTGTCAGCCACTATGCTGGAGACTGCTCTCAGTTTATCTCCCAGGGACTCTCCAGGCACAATCCCTGACTTGCAAGCAATTTCTACCATCCCTTACAACACAGGGATGATACAAAGGAGGGGGTGGGAGGGAAGCACCAAACATTTCAGTAACACATCAGTAGGAAGAAATATTAGAATCATGGGAAGATTTAGGTTGGAAGAGGTATCATCTGGAGCCCAGCCTCCTACTCAAAGCAGGGCTAACTTCAAAGTTAGCTTGATCAGGACATTGTCCAGCCGAGAGTTGAAAGTCTCCAAGGATGGATGTTCTCTCTGAATAACCTGTTCCAGCAATTCACCCACTTCATGGCAAAGAATTTTTTCTTCCTGATGAGGAACTGCAATGTCTATGCTGAAGCTTGTGACTATTGCAATAAGCTGTGCCCATTTGGCTGGTGATGAAGTATTTCACAGCATCAAGAAAAAAATCTCTTGTCTCTGTACTGTTCTGTGTTGGCTCAGAAATTAGCAGTCACATGTATTTAAACTGAACTGAGGAGCCAGAGGTAAAAAAAACCTGCCTCTGTAATGACCGGGAAGGAGATCTTCAGCATCAGGACACAGATACTGACTGTTACTATGGTTAAAGTTGAATAACACAACATAACTTAGTTGAACAGTGCTTAACTGAAGAGCAACTGTTATGAGCTTAGATTGGCATTCACTACACTTGTTTCTTGGTCTAATGAAATGCTTTCTTGTTCAATTCTGCATCACTGACAGGGAGTGCAGGCAAGTGCCATGCTATACAGGAAATCTGCACATGACTTTAAATAGGACAGTGAATCCATGGAGTAACTCAAGGAGACTGAGACGTTAGTAACAGGGACAGGAGTAACGGGTGTTTTAGCCAGGAGTCTAAGGCAACTTGGTGGGAAAAGAGAAGAAACGCCTGTTTGCCAGCACTCCGGCGCAGGCTGCCGGCCAGGGCACCCCCTCGCCCCCCCCGCTCTCTGCCCATCACCTCCACCAGCAAGGGGAAGAAAACCCTGCTTGCTGCCCGGGAGAGGGCACTGCTGCCCTGCTTTTGGGATAATCTGAACCTTTCCACGTTTTCTAAGGGACCGAAAAAGCCATTTCAGCCCTGCCTGGCCGAAGGAGTCAGACAGCAACTGGGAAGACCCCCCTCGAGTGATCAGAGACCCCGCTTGGGTGATTATGCTGCACTCTAACTGTGATGGGAGCTGCTGCTGTGCTGCATGGTTTAAAACACCATCAAATAATAGTAAAAGCTTCCTTCTTGCCATCAATATAGCACGCACTGCAGAATTAAGATGTTCAAACAGAGGTAAATAGGCTGCATCCGTTTAAAAAAAGCACAACAAGCGGCAACTAAAATGTCCAGATCAGGAAGGCAGAGAGACCATAGAGCCCAAGTGCTGAAATACCAGAATCAAATGCTTGAAGGGGTACAATTTAGAAAAAAACCACTTTTTACAATGATTGAGGTGAAAATTAACCATTTAACAATTGTGTAATTAACCATTTAACAATTGTGTGTAACAAGCCTGGTAAAGTCATTTGTGTGGCGGCACTTTTGTCTGAGGTAAACTGTGTAACTGACGTAGTATTTTCCATCGTGCACCAAAGGACAGCCTTTTTGTTAAGCAAAACGTATGTTCATTTTAAAAAGGCAGAAAATTTTCATTTCATGAAAGCTGTAAGATTGCTTAAGTGCGGCAATTTATTACACAATACAGGTGCTCTGTACAGCCAGTAAGAACTAACTGCTTTGCATAACAAGAAGAATTCTCATAGGAAACATAATGAGCATAACAAAGTATGTCGGAAACAAAAGAGTGTATTTAAGAAAAAAGACTAGAAAGTGAAGTATAAAAAATGAAACAGTAAACCAGTTTTGTCTCACTCTTCCTAAAAACAGTAATTTGAAATCTGAGACAAACGCAGAGAAATACATTTATAAAAATCTTTGTACAAATTTAAAAAAGCATACATAGCCTTGGAAGCAATAAAATATAACAAAAGAGAGACCAAATTTCATCTTTTGATGTACCAATACTGTCTGAAGTCTGTTTACGTATTCTTTACATTTCTATTTTTCTTAGTTCAAAGCAGTTATCACAAAATATTAAGACACGAACTACCACGTTTAGGGCTCAGAAGCAAATGGCATGTCACTATTATAATGTAACCTTACTGAGATGCACCGACCTGGGCAACCAGCCTAGTGTGGATCTGTTCTGTTATCAATACACTTTCCTCAGGGATTTTCCTAACCTAAAACTATCTCCCCTCCACATTCCCCAAGTGATCTGGAAGAGCTTATATTAAAGACTTCCTTGTTCCCCCCTACCAAAACCAAGTGGGAATGTTTTATTAACAGCTAAAGGAACATGGGATTGATCCTTGGTCTTGTAGCTAGAGAAGATTTCTCAGTTATTATTGATGTCCTTCGTTGTTCCTCGGTAAAGCAGCTTAGTAAGTATTTATAGCTGCTGAGATTCCCCAGAAGAATGGTTTGGTACTCTGTGTTCAGACAGCTCCTATAAACACTTTTACTACCTGTTGCCTCTTTTTTTTAGTGTCTTTGAGTTTTCCCTCGGTTCAGTCTCCCCTTCATGTGGACTCTGTAACCTCTCTCTGAAAGAAATAAACAAGAAAAATAAAACAAAATTGTAGACAGAATTTTTCAAACACAGCTCTCTCTTAAACTAAATTAATTTTGATAAGAGAAGAAAGGCACTTGCTATGTAACTTCTGCACTCCCTGGTTTCAGCTGCCCCTGTTGACGCTGCCAAAACAAAGTTTCCTAAGATAAATGTTCCTTTGTTGGGTCCCTGTTCCCTACCC